ATGGTTTACAGATTCACAGTTAAATAAACTGAGAATGTAGCCCTAAAACTATACCGGTTTTAAACATTGAAATTATTTCTATCCTTTTGTTTTCAGTTCATTTTAGAATTCAAATAAGAAGGAGAACAGAATAGTAAACATAAGGCAGAACAGTTCTTGTGAATCTTTATGAATCTATCTTTAAAATTAAGCAATTAAAATACAGAGTATATGTAAACAGGAGTTTTCACCTTACCTGATAGCATGTATGCAATAATGTTTTACTTTATTAATATTTTTAAAGGTTTTTCGCCAAGCAAGAGCAAATACTCCAGCAATAATATTCCTAGATGAGATTGATTCTATCTTGGGATCTCGGTCACAGGGCCGAAGTGGCCATGGTGTCTCCGAGCGGGTTCTTTCTGTTCTTCTCAATGAGTTGGATGGGATTGGGCTGAAAGTCACAGAAAGAAGAGGAAGCAAACTACAGCTTGAGGATCAATGTCCAGAACAAAGTGATGAGGAAATAAAGGTATTTATGTTCCCTTTTCCATATAGGAAAAATGATAAATGCTGTACAGTTGTTCCAGAAATTTTAGTTGTTGGCATTCACACTTCTTAAAATCCTGAAGCTTAAAAATACACAAGATGCTTTTCTACTCTGTCATAATTTCTAGTTTTTAGAAAATACCATATATAGGCTACTAACTGTTTTTACATACACTATTCCTCAATGAGACTTTGTTTGAACAAAATACCCTAATGAGCATTACTAGTTGGTGTTTATCTTCAGTCACAAAAATCTTCTTGCTTGACACTAAGGCAATTTTTTAGACTTTGTGCTATTTTTACTATTCTGCAGTTCCTTCCTGAATTTATTTTTATAAGCATTTTCCATACTTAATTTGCAGTGCTTTGTCATATATACTTGCTACAAAACTGGTACAGTTATGATGATTTACTTATTTAAACAAAAACTTGCATCTGGACTTTTCAGTGAATTGTTTACAACTTTTAAAATTTAGATTTTCTGCAGTTAAATTTCAGTGTTTGTATTATGATACTCTCTGGGGGAAAACTGAAGGAAACAGTTTCAGAATTGTAGGGTACTGAATCTTTGCGTATAAATTTGTTACAGTTTGGCCAAAGAAAAGTCTGTACTTATTTTCAAGGTAGATACTAACTGTATTTTTTCGTTGTCATCTAATCTGACCTGCACCAAGGCATTTTTTACCTCAAGAACAAAAGAAATATTAGTATTGAAAGGAAAATAACTAAAGATAAATCATCTTTTCACCCTTCCCATTTTGTCATTCTTAGTTAACTAATATCTTTAGATAATACTTATCAACCGTGTTGTACTAATTTGTTGATGTCATCTCTTACTCAGCTAGAGTTTCAGGAAACTTTGAACAAAGATTTCATGGTAGTTGCTGCCACAAATAGACCAGATATGTTGGATGATGCCTTATTGCGTCCTGGAAGGCTTGACAAGGTGATCTATATTCCACCTCCAGATCTGAAGGTGATGTATTACAAATTCATGTGTGGCTTTAAATAGAGAGATATTAATTGCCAACATACTTTAGGAGCAAAGGGGGCATATTCCTGTAATATATTTAACAATTGATGGATGATTCACTGAAGATCAGTCACCAAACTCAATGAAAAAGCTTAAAAAGGATTAACTGCATTTGTAATTTCAACACCAGTAACATTTTAACCGGCGTATGTAGTTACACTGTTACATATAGAAAATTGACGAAATCTGTAATAATTCTGTATTACAAAATCAAGGTGCAGTTTAGGAAGTACTATAACAAGTTGTCTGTCCTTGCTTCAAATCATTCTTGTGCCCTGTTCCCAAGGGTAGTGTAGCTTCTTGTCCTGAGCTTCCCCCCCAAAAAAAAGATTTGACCCAAAGCAGGCCAAATATGAACTCTTCAGTCTAAAATACCGTGTTTTCATTAGGTAATAAGTAACTGTGAATAGCAGAGTTTTAATATATTAGGTAACCATAAGAGTAAGTATTATCTCCTTTAGTAGCACTTTATTCACGCCTCCACCAAAAACACGTGGTTTTGGTACTCTTTGGGATTTCCTTTAGTTCTAATTTCATATTTGGTACTGCTTCGGAGAGGGATTAATTAGTGGTTGGTTTGTTTTCTCGTATAATATGCACCAATTTACAGGGAAGGCTTTCCATTTTGAAAATCTGCACAGAAAAAATTCCATTAGCTACTGATGTGTCATTGCAAGATGTGGCAGTCCTAACAGACCTCTTCTCTGGAGCTGATATTGAAAACCTGTGCAAGGAGGTAAGAAATATTCATGGTTCATCTGTGAAGTCAATGATGAATGAAACCTTCCAGTGAAGAGAGACCTAACTCATAAATGTTGCCAAGCCATCTGTACTATGGATTCTTTCACAGTTTGTAATGAAAATATAAAGAGAATGAGTAAAACTGAAGAACTGCACAAGGGTTAATTCTTTAAATAAAGCCTTTATTCTCATTTGTCTTTTTTTCAGTGATAATTTACTAGAAATTAAGGAACTGTACTACCCTTTGTTTCATGTGGCCTTTTCTAGATGAATTGTATTCTGTGTACTGCAAGCAACTGCAGCATTTTTAGCTGAAATTAGCATGTGCTGTCAAGGCTAGAGAGGAAAAAAAAAAGATAAATCTGTAAGTGTTTGAGATAAGTTGTATAAAAGAGAGAAGACTAGGAAGAAAATCCAAATATAGAAGTGATCAAGGATCTGTTGTCTAATCCAGACGAAAAAGTGAATGAGAAAGTTACAGTAATCTTATTTGATGTTTATTGTCAAATAACCATAAATTATATAATGCTGTTTTCAGATGCTTTACCTAAAATTCATGTAAAATATTTTAGAATACTTGCCATAACTTCTTTGCAACTTATAAGCACTTCAAGTTGTTTCTTTCTTTTCTTTTAAAGGCTGCTTTGCTGGCATTGCAAGAAAATGGACTTGAAGCAACTGCCGTAAAACATGAGCATTTTGTAAAATCGTTGAAGGCTGTAAAACCATCCTTAAACATAAAAGACCTGGAGTTTTATGAAAAGTTTTATAATCAAGAATTATCCTCTTGAATCAAAAAGGAGTGATGTAGCATAGGTATTTTTAAATATATTACAAAGATTTTGCAATGGTTTACATCTTTCCTGCTTTTTAATACTGTACTTACTGTCATTTTCAGTGTGTATGAAACACAGTAAAATTTCGCTTGTGAAAAATCTCTGATTTCAGTTAATGGAGAATAAAACCTTTTTTTGCTTTGTCTAGGTTTCCATCTGATGAAATGAGTCATTGAGATACTTAGATAAAGCACTGTGGAACAGCGTAGTGTTACTGTAGGTTTCCTACTTTTCAGTACAAACACTGACACAATAAGAATATTTAATTTAAAATGTGTTGTGAAGTCTCTAAAGGATGGTGAATACTTGAAAGATAGAAAAGCTTTCAGAATATTAAATAGGAGGAAATGAGTCCCGTACCACATAAAACGTTAAGGTGTTTTATATGTGCATTATCTACAGACTTGCTTTCTTACAAGCAGATTACAAAATATAGTGGCAGTGAAAAGTTTGTCAGTGTTTAATACCCTCTTGTAAATTTGGGAGCCTGGATTCTTTGAAATAATTTTAGATCAGTTATTGCTTACTGTTCAAACATATGGATTGAGTGAGCAGATACTAAGTCTGTAATCGATTCAAACTGTAATAATTTCTCCTTTAGGGAAGGGAGTTTGCTTTATAACCGTTTCTGCAGAATTCTTTTTCCCACCCAACCATTCCTTGTCAGAGTATTTTTGTAGGTTGTCTTCTATAATACATAGATATATCAAAGACAACTGTTACTGCATGCATGTAAGCGTGCATTTTAACTCACCGGGGTAGGAAGGTTTTAATTATTTTTTCCTTTTCCCCATGAAAGTGCTTGTGAACAAAATACTTCACTGTCAAAAAGTTTCTTATTTCAGCTGAGGTTCTTAAGTTAAACCCATTAACAAGTATTTCTCTCCCATAACAGGGACCCTAGGGACCGCACTGCAGTGTGGTTTACAGTGAGATGGATCATGAAAAGAAGTTCCAAGGCAGTTGATGACTGCAGAGGGCAAAGGGGAGTAGTAGAAGCTGTTGTAACTTAGGAAAGGGTTCAGATATAAACGACTGTCCTACAGCTTGGTGCCTTTGATCACCATTTCCTAAGGAATGACCATCCTGCTGCTTTATAGCTGGCAACAAGTAGGCCAGTGCCAGTGAACTTCCCAAAGGTTTCTCAGCAGCAGTGCTGGAGATAAAGTATGAAAACCTTCATGGTAACTCTCTGGTTTGCTTTCTAATGTTTGAGAGTGTTGCCTTAGAATTGCCAGATCTGAAAGGTGCTAGGACAGCAAAATGCTGTCAGCTCCTTTGTTTCGAAGATGATGCTGCTTAACTTCTGTACTTGTTCCCTAGAAGAACCGTCAGAGCTAATTGTGCCCTGTCTTGTCCCCTCCTTGCTCCGGGGAGCCAGCAGAGCGTGCGGGAAGGGCAACCTCTGCTCCCTCTTACTGCGTTCCCGCGGGCAAGAGGGGGAGGAACGGATTTACAGGCGGCGTCTGCTGGCACCACGCACCTCCAGCCCGCCCCCGGTAGTTGTTTCCAGATGGGGGTGTTGGGAAGTGATGGGAGCTGCCTAACTCAGCAGAGGGATGGGAACCTGGGCCTTAACCTTTGGCTCCATCAACAGGGGACGCGGTGACATCGGGCTCCTGTTTCGGTCACCACACGCCCCTTGCCGAGCGCAGAGAAGAGGCAGGCCGAGGCCTTGCTGTGCTTTTGCCTGGCTACGCTGTTCTTTAGGCAACTCCCTGGCCAGGGGGGCAGACGAGGAGGCGAAGGAGAAGTGGAGAAGCAAGGTGACCCGCACCGCCCGCGCCTGCCC